AATAAAATGTCAGAAAGTATCATTGAAATGTCCCAAAGAAAAACATTCATTGTAAAATGGCAAATGTTGGAGCTGCAGTGCTGTTTTCTGGCAGTAATCAAGGAAGAAGAGGAGAGAAGCCTGAATAATTCACATTATTTATACAGTGAAAATATGAATATTTATCTGATAACTCTGCACCACTTTTTTGCATCACATCAGACAAATGATATCCCAGTCGTGTACAGCCACATCCTCCTGATATGAATAACGGTAGACGATTAACAGTCGTCTCTCTCCGCAGCGTGACGTCGGAGCAGCTGAGCCCTGCGGCGGCCATGTTGGATCTGTTTCTCAGCGTGCTGGTGTTGACCCGTCTCCACCCGTCGCCTCACAGCACCTCCATGCCAACCTAACTCCTCCTCCTCCTCCTCCTCCTCCTCCTCCTCTCTTCCTGCATCTTTCTTCCACCACCTGGCCGGGAGAAAGGTAAACATGGGCTGGTTCTTCAGTAAATCCACAGCAGATTCAGGGTAGATAGAAAAGTGTTGTTGTTAAAGTGGAGTTTAGGTCAGATGGTCATTAATAGTGAATGTGCTGCTGCTGTGATTGGCTCTCGTTAAGTGATTTTAAACTTTGATGATGTACTTTTTTTGGGATGCCTGTAGAAGAACTCATTTAAATCCAGTTTAACATCTTCTTAAGTTTACTTTGAGTGACTAAAAACTCCACAGTGCACATTTAAAATTCAAAATATGATCCTATGTCTGATAGGAACTCTTCAATAAACCTTTATGATGTTTCCAATGGATAAAATACTGACTGTACAGATTATTTTGCACTATATCATTTACTAACCATCTGAAGCCGGAGCAGTTTTTGGCCATGTTTTCTGCTTCTGTCGTCACATTGTTCCTCACTGTGATTCATTTGTCACTGCAACTTAAAGTCCTGCATCTCTATGGAATCAGAGCAACCAAAGTAAAAAAATATCCTAAAGTTAAAAAAAAAAAAAGAAATAAGAGAGAGAAGATGATAATTGAATTTCTGTCATTATTTATTTTTCCAAATTGAAAAAACCCCTTATATATCAACATGTACACCTTTTTTTCCAAATCCCTCAAGGTGAAACTCCAAAAACTGACCAAACAAATGGAGGCTCCACATATGTACATGTTTCTCTATTTACATTTTTAATTTGTTCCAATAGTTGTCTCCTCTTCGTGACCACTGCCCACAGTTCACCTGAAGAGTTCCTAAATTTCCGTCACGTGACTGTAGGTTGCAGCCGAGTCACTGACGGATTCATGGTTTTGCTGACGAGGCCAGAATTTTTTTGTTTTTTACAGAATCTAAAGTCGAACAGGCATTTGTTTTTGGCTAAATTTGGTGAATAACAAATGTAGAATGAAGTGATTTTGATTTAAGTGCACCGAGGAATTCAGGATATATTGCTTTTTAACTCAATACGGTTTATTTCTGGCAGATTTTTAAATGAAACATGCAGAATAAATTGATTTCGATGAGCTATCACAGTTTCAAGGTCACATTTGGTGATTTTTTCCCGAAGAATCTGCACAACACACGGGGTTAGTTTAATGACCGTCAGAAAATTTACATTTTTTTACATTTTCTGACTAATAAATGGTGTAAATTCTGTGATTATTGTAATGATCACGTCTTTTACACCTGCTGGCTGGTTTTGCAGCTCTTACACGTTTCCTGAAAATCCAGTTTTAGTTTGTGAGTTTGCACTGACTGTGGTTTGAGCTGCAGTGATGTGATGGTTCTCTGCCCTCCAGGTCCTTGGTCCTTGTGGAAAATGTCCTATGCACACCACAAGCTGCTCACCTGGAGCTTACCTCACCTCCTCCTCCTGCCGCTGACCTACCTCTGGCTCTTGGCTCCTCCCACAGGTAAAACAAACCGCAGACGGGTAAAGAAACACATCTGACGGGGCTCGTCTCCTCAGCAGATCCACACACCTTTGATTACTCAGGGAGGGTCTGCATCCTGCTCAGAGTCGTGCTGTGACACTCGGACGGTTTCAGTTTGGTGGTGGGTGTTTGCTGCCGCTCTGACAGAGACGCCCGTTGGCTCCCTGCTGTGTGTTCTTTCTGATGCCAGTCTGCTCAGTGGGTTACAGTATGAAAGAGGACAATAGGGGCTCTGTGAGGACACACTGTGTTGAGTGGTGGGGGTACGAAGAACAGTGGACGTGGGCTGGGGTGACCAAACAGAGGCCTAATGGAGGCTCCTTTCTCAAACAAACTTATACTGCTTTTGTGTGCTTTTTCCTGCGTTGTGAGACCGGTGTTTTTCCAGACTAGAGTTACGCTGACGGACCATAAAGTCGCTCCTGGCTCTCGCGTTGCCATGGCAGCAGCAGTTTCGGGTGTAGCGCTGTCTGAGACGGTCTGATGAACAGCGTTTCTGTTGTTTTTCTTTCGCTGCCACCATCGTGTCCATCAGCAGGTCACGATCTGTGGTGACCGAGCAGCTGCGTGTTGGCTGATGAATATTTAAGATGCCCTGATGCATGTTTACAGAACAGCAGGAACGAAAGTAGGAATAAAAATATATATACGCTGATATGAAAACTTTATTGGACACAACATGATGTACAAACAGATGCTTCATCTAGAAACGGTGTCATCGCATAGTTTGTTGAGCAGCTCTGACTCCATCAGCGTCTGCAGCACATGCAGCAGAGTACAGCTGAGCAGGCAGTGGTGCGGAGTCGTGTCCTCACAGTGAGATGCTAACTGGTTTGTGAAATACAACGTAGGGAAATTAATAAACGATGACCCCATCATCATAAATTGATATTGGAATTTTTTACTCCCTAAAAATCTGTATTTGATTAGATCCAACTTATTATCACTGAGACAACAAAATACAGTTTAGTCGTCATTTTTATTCCAGTTGTATTTTTTCTTTAATTGGATATGGCATTTTTAGCGCTTTAGTTATTTTATCTGTTGTTGTTGTTGTTGTAGTATGGATTTATTTGGTCAATCGTTTAACTGTAATTCTCCACTCTTGCTGATATTCTGGTCTTTTTCCCTTCTGTTTGGACTGACTGGTCTTCTGTTGTTCTATAGTCTTACCGAGTATCCTTCATCATCCTTCTTCTTCTTCTTTGTCGTCTTCGTCTTCTTTGTCGTCTTCATCTTCTTCTTTGTCTTCTTCGTCTTCTTCTGCTTCGTCTTCATCTTCATCTTTGTCTTCTTCTTCTTCTTTGTCATCTTCTTCTTCTTCTTCATCATCTTTGTCTTCTTCTTCTTCTTCTTCTTTGTCTTCTTTGTCTTCTTCTTCTTTGTCGTCTTCTTCTTCTTCTTCTTCATCATCATCTTTGTCTTCTTTTTCTTCTTCTTCTTTGTCTTCTTCTTCTTATGTATACTATGAGTATATACAGTATGTTACGGTATGAACAGAGTGGCATCAACTCACAGAATATCTAAATAGAATAATCTCTAAATAACAGTATAAAGTTATATAAATGTACATGTAAAGGTATAAAAGGGGTAAATGTCGGTATGAACAGTGTGAGATAAATACAGAATGTACATAGTCTGAACAGTCTTGTTCAGGCTCTAATTACAGTTTGAATTCTTTACATTATTTTGAACTTAAACCCTGTAGTTGCAGGTATTTCAGCGAGAGTCCTTCGGTGCTTTTACATTCTGTAATCTCCTCTCTAAATGATGTTTTCATTGCTGCTCCTGCGTGGGATTCAGATTGTCTACCTGCTCACAGGGGATTCATCAGAAAAGATGCAGCATGTAATTAAACATTCAGCATCACTGACATCAGCTTAATCCATCCGACAGCTGTATCGGAGCCAAAGGAAGAGACTGTTGAGGCAAACGGAAGACTTCCTTGTAGCTAAACACAGGTGCATTGTGTTAGCGGCTGGCTGACGCCGTTCATCAGGGCTGCGATGTGGGCATTTTAGGCATTTTTGAAAGCCAGATCAGTTTTCAGTGTTGCAGAAAGTGTGAGAACAAGGAGAACCGGTTACAGTCAGAAAGGTGACTTCTGTTCCGTCTGTTTGGAAAAGGACAATAATTGAGTCAGTTTCTTAAAACAGGGTGGGTTTGTTGAACACATGCTCCTGTTTTGTATTTCTAACGAAGCAGAAGCAGAAACCACAGCTGGACAACTAATCCGTTTAAAATAGAAACCTTCATTTGGAACGTAGCAGTTAGCAAATCACAAAGACTGCAATGTAGGATGTACATCATGCAACACATCTGAGCCAGGGTTTATTTATTTTAATTCTTATTACTGTATTTAACTTGGTTGCAGAAGCTGCTCCAGAACCTGTTCCTGTGTCAGAGCTTTTTATTCCCTTATTCAAATTATTAGTTTTTAAAATCACAGCTGTATTTAATTAACTTAACACAGTCAAGCTGTTGGGCCGTTTTTGCCGTTTAAAATGTAATAAATGCATATTTGAATTGATTTGTAAATAAGATAATCTTTTATTAATCCCACAGCGGGAAAATTTGCAATTTCACTGCAGCAAATGTGAGAGGAATAAAATGTAGGAATATCAATAAAAAATAAACAAGACATACACAGTAGTAATACGTCTAATATCTATATAGCAATACCAATAAAAGGTACGTACAGCTACTGCATTGATGGTGTCTCATGTGTGATAATGGTCCACCACATATTTTACATTTATCACAGCATGAATATTTAACTGAAGCTTTAAAGAATTATATCGGCAATTAGATTTTTTTTTTCTCCAAATCATTCAGCAGAGACGACTCAAGATCAACCACAACTAAAATCTGATGAATTATAGCTTTGAAGAGAATAAATGCTAGTTGTCTAGTAAAGACTTGTACCCAGAGATCACTGAGCCGAATATAGTAACGAGTCCTTCATTTATTAGTAAAGTCTTTAATAATGCAGCGGTTCAAAGTGAGCTGCTTAGAATTTAACAGGTGATCACGAGCTTCGTTGGGATGTAACGGTGAGCCGTGGGTTTGATCCGCTGCCTTGAATAAACCTTTCGAGACTAAAATAAATCCGGTGCAGCTGCAGTTTTCTTGATTCAGCGACTCAGCTGATCTGCTTTGTCTTCCAGTTTATTCTCACATCGTCTGCGTTCGTTAAAGTGCCGGTGAAATTTTACCTCCCGTTTCCCTCTTTGCAGTCTGTGTCCTTTCACCGTCTGTGCTTTTTTTATTGTAAGCGGCTGCACAATAAACTGGATTGACCTGAACTCATTTGGCTCCACGAAAGGTTGAATTAAAGTAGTTTTAGGACCCAGATTAGTGTTTCTGTGGATGAACACACACCAACTGTACCGGCTCACTGCGGTGCTGATACGAGTGCGATACGGCTCGGAGGGTGGAGTTCTGTGTGTTCTGCTCACTGTGCTTTGGGTTTTAATCAGCGTCTTGTTTTGTCAGGGAAAAGCCTGACTTCCTCTGTCGGCTGCTGACTTGGCCGGCTGCTCCGACCGCGGCTGCCCGTCGGCTTTTCTGAGAAACGTTCAGTCAGAGTTTAATCTGTGAAACGTCTCTCCGGTTGGCACCGGGATTCGCTGTGGGTTTCATTTCGGCCCCTTTTGGCTCCGACAATGCCGAGAGGACCCAACAATGCCCTGATTGATATAAACAAGTGAAATCCTGAAAAGACTGAGAAGCACTGTGACGGACCCGAAATGTCGCCTTTGATAAACCGTTGTGATCAAACTAGATGCTCGGGGGGCCAGTGACACACAGAAATCATGCAAGAACAGGAAATACACAACATTAAACTGCCTCTTCTGACATATATTTGTTCATCACTGGTTGACTGAACTGACTGCGGCTGTGTCTTTTGAAAAAGTCTCAATACTGCTGCAACCTATTAGTAGAGAAGTAAACACTACACAGTAAGTAAATCAAATATCCTGTAAGGTGCAGCATTTAGACAGCAAACTGTGGACAGCTGACGGTGGATCGGTTTGTGTTTGTTATAAAGAGCTGCTGTGGTTTTCTGGCTGACGTTCAGTCAACGGGGAACTTGGTAACGGAGCTCCACGACTTTCAGAATGAGTTTAAAACCTGATGACAGAGTTTGGTCACATATCTGCTGCTATAAATACACCTGTGGAGTTTGTTATCGCTGTGGCCCGGTCTGAGGTGCTCGTAACAGGCTGATTAAAAGTCACGAGTTTGGACTGCAGCAGCTTTTATTCCTGCACCTCTGATGTTTACGTCCAAGAAGAGTTCGACGTACAACCAGCTACACAAACCCGATGTTGAGCCAAAACCAGCTGCTCTTATCTGGGTCAGACTTTTATCATAACTTTGTGTCAGAGCTATAAAGAGGAGATTATTTCTTTATTACTGACATATCTCCCAGTTTATATTCATCTTGTATACATCTACAGCTGCCTTTTTCCAATAAGGAAATGATCCTCATGTCTCTGCATTATTCTACCGGCCCTGTGTCCTACAGGATAACCTATCCAGTTCTGTTTACTGGTTAAAATAGCTTTAAAGAACAAATTCAACTCCTATAATATGGTTTTCCACTTTTAAAAATGTGATTGCAGCCCCTACATTGTGGCTGGAATGTTATCAATGCTCTAGATTTGATTCATAAGGGGTCGATTATATCCTGCAGGATAATTACAATAGAGATCATTTCTTTTATGTACAAACCTTCCCATAAATCATGTAAACAACAGTCCGATTTCTAAATATTAACAAGGATTATTCACATACAGTCCAAACATCAGGCGTTCTGTGTTTTTTGGTTGCAGTTATTCAGTTACAGAAAGTTTCTCAACCTTTGCTAGTTTGGTGTTTTTTGCACATGATGACTGTTTGACCCAGATTAAAGCAGCTGCACGTATATAAACCAGGTGATAAAAAAAAAAAAACAACTAACAAGCAGCAACAAGCAGCAGTTTTTGGCAGAAGATCCCTTCTTGTCACGACACCAGCACAGCTTTGGTCCAATCCGTCTGCCTTCGTTCATCTGTAGTTAACTGAGAAACCCAAGAGCAGAATTTAATGACGGTGGAGGATCTTGAAGTTCTGGCTGGTCTGAGTCCACCAGAACCACGAGGCTGCACTGAACTAATAACATGTGGTTCTTTGTTGAAGTAGGTCAGGGGGAAACCCAGAGAGTCATGTTCTGCACATACGGCAGCTGCATCCACTCAGTACATGTGTGCAAAACCCAAAGGCTCATATCAAAGATTATTGGTACGTGTCCTGTTAGGGCCCGACTAGATGCTTCACTAAACTCTTTCTAGAAATATAGAAACCGATTCATGACCTTCTACTGTGTTCTCATTTTCTTTATTCTTTGTGGACCGTCTTCCCTCCTCTTCTGTGAACTATAACCTCGTTGGAAATGGATTCGTAATGGACTCACTGCTTTCCTTCGGTCCAGGTGTGTCAGCGGATCTCTGCCGGGTCACTGGTGGGGTTCTGGGGATCCACTGGAGCAGTGTCATCAGCCTGGGCTGGTACCCTCTGGCGGACGGGCGGGCCGGCGCCACCTGCTGGGAGTCGTGCTGCATGGAGCCCAAGTGTAACGCCGTGTGGAGCCTCGGGGGGCGCTGCGTTCTGCTGAGCTGCTCTCGGAGGAGGGGCTGCGCCATCTCCTCGCTGCCCCAGCCCCACGAGGAGTCGCTGGGCCTCCTGCAGCTCCTTGCCAAGGTACGGTGAAGAAAACACTGTCCAACAAATCTGCATCTGGGCTTTATGTAAAGTACCCACAACATACTTTCTTTGGTTAGTGCAGTCGTCGATTTTGGTTTTGCCAAAAGATGAAAATTAAGCTTGGGCCCAATCTCTGTCTCTGTTGACTTTTTTTCTGTGGATAATTCTTATGTTTAGAAGTCATAGTCAGACCCTCTGAACTCCAAGCAGCAGTTTCTGGGCCTTTTTTGCTCCTGTCTCATTTTTCCTCACTGTAAACGGTCTACACTTATAAAGCGCTTTTCTACCTTAACGGCACACAAAGCGCTTTACAATGTGTTCCTCATTCACCCATTCACACACATTCATACACCAACAGCGACAGAGCTGCTATGCAAGGTGCTGGCCTTGGCATTGGGTTCGAGTTCAGTGTCTTGCCCAAGCACCAAGGACTGTGGAGGGGCCGGGGATCGAACCACCAACCTTACAATCAGCTGCTCTACCAGCTGAGCCCTCAGTGGCTCCTTTTTCACTGCAATATAGAGTCCTGCAGCTCTATGAAACAGAAGAACCACGAAGAAGGAGAGAGAACTCAGAAATGTCTCCTGTGCAGAATGACACAGAATGACAGAAAACATGAAAAAAGAAAATGAACTAACAGGAGAAACAGCTAGTTTAGCTTAGAGTAAAGACTGGAAACAGCTGGGTTACAGCTGGATCCAACATGGCGGGGGTGCTCCTGCAGGCTGAACTTTTCCTGTTCTCGCAGATGCACTGGAGCATTGGAAATTTGTAATTTTGGAATCAACATGTGCAACATTTTTCTAAGTGAACATAGATGTGACCAATACTGGGGGAGATGGTGATTCTACATGGCAGAGATATTTTACTCATTATATTGTTAATTGGCCTTCATTCCCTCTCTGCACTGTGTGAACACTGCCTGCAGTTCAACTGAAAAGTCGCTGCATTAACACACGACTGCTGCCGAGTGACTGACGGCTTAAACTTTGGGACAAGACGTTCAGATTTTTTTGTCTTTTACAGAATTTGATGAGGGCAAAATGTTCATTTTGTTCAGACTTGCATAGTAAAGTGATTTTGATGAAATATAAGGATTTTAAGCTTTGATTTGTTGAGCTTCACAGACGAGCAGTTTCCAGCTCTGATAAATTGTCTGATTTTGTCAGTCTTTTACGACTGATGCCTTTCAGACCTTCTGCCGGGCTTTGGGCTTCAGAGGATGAAGTCACATTTTTATGTTGTACAGAAATGATCCCGAATGCAGCGAATGCTTCTAATCGAATCTACAAATCTTTGTTTCTACCTGTCAGGGTCCCGTCAGAGTGCGGCGTAGAAAACCTCGTCACACAACACACAGTGGAAGCCAAAAAACACACACAGGACAGATTACCAGCACGGTGAGTTGGTGGGAAATTACTGGTTGCTTTTGAAAGTTTCTGTTGATCATGGCGTCGATTTGTTCTGCTCACAGGCTACAGCACTGCAACCCAAATACAGCAGAGTTGTCTTTCACTTTCTGTTGTTCTGTCTTGAATAATTTCCTCCTTCTTTGTTGCGCTCACACTGATTAATGGATGAGATAGGGCGGGGGTTGACTTGGAGGATGTGAAAATCCATTTCCACAGTATTATCTGGCTCCTTTGAGGTTTTCCAAACTCTCCAGATCTGCTCTTTGTTTGAGTTTCTGATATTTTATAATAACCCTGCACATTTTTAATGGCGCCCACAGGAAAGCTCCAAACTGGGAACATCTCACCCGACTCCATCAGCATCCAGCACCATCACACTTGTCCAAATATCCCAAAAGAACCACAGCCAGACAGCCAATGGGAGCTCCGACGCCGTTCCTGCTTCATTGCCGCAGAACTCGACGGTGGACGACACCATCGATGCTGCAGCGTCTTCCAACAGCACCGACGGCGGCGGCGGCTCACCGACGGCGGCCGCCAACACCGTAACCACAGCTCCGACTCAGAGCGGTGAGTGACGGATCATCTGCTGCCCTGACAGCCAGCACCTATTTCCAGCTCGACCACTAATATGTCTCCATGTATTAATTATGAGCTAATGCATAATGTAACAGCGCCGTACTGGTGCCGCGTTGGAGCAAAGACTTTCAGGGCTTTTCTCCACTGAATTTAGTCAAAACTCATCATTTTTCTGTCCTTCACTGTTCCCGCTGTGTTTCTGCTCCAGCGCTGCCGTTGTCCAAATCACGCAGGTGTACTTTGGCAGCACATTTTATGGCAGACTGCTCAGATGCTATTTTTCCCAGAGGAAAGCAACATGTGCTGTGAAACCAAATTAGTGTAAGCAATAGGAATGTGCTGAGACACGCTGGTCTTCTGCAAACAGGAATAACTCGACTGATCGGTGCGCCTTCCCCGAAGAACAATATCTGTTTATTAACTGACAAATGGCAACAGACTCAGCGGCGTGACTCATCGCAGCCGGAATCGTTTCAGTTTCTTTAACGGAAAGCAGATTCACCAGAAGAAAGAGCCGAGCCGTTTTAAATGAGGACTCAGAAGTGGTGCGATGGTCAGTGGTAGTATCATAAACGTCTGTGATTCCTCAAAGGGAAATCAAAGCCTGCACAATTCAGTCTGATTCAAAGTTAAACCATTTTACACGTCTGTTTTCTTCAATTAGTCCATTAGTTGATGAAAAGGTTGATTGTTTCATCAAACGATTGCTGTCAAAAAAGAGTTTTTATCCAGCTGATCACTGTCTGGAACTTGTAGTTGGTAAAAATCATCAATCATTTTAAAATGTTTTAATATTTATTGTTTTTGGTTTTTTAAAACATTTTATAAATACGTGAGAGACATTATTATTTTACTACTATTTTCAATGTTTTACTGAATTATTTGTAGGTTTTTTTACACATATTTTCAGATGTTTTCTAAAGAGGTCACAGACATTTTCTCAATATTTTATGGACATTTCATGAAATCAGTTTGCTGGACATTTTCCTAAAATGTTTTACTAATATTTAATTGCTTTTTACTGAATTCTCTGATATTTTGACGTATTTTCAAATCATCATATTTATATTTTAAGCTTTTATTCATGTTTTATTGACTTTTTAGAATTTTTTTTTTAGACTTTTCCTTTTTTTGATGTTTCATTCATATTGTCAATTTTATAATCTATTTTTATATTTTGTATTTAAGTTTAGTGTTTTTTTAGAAGTTCTATAGAAATGTTCACTATATTTTTAACAATTTTCAGATGTTTTATGAATGTGTGCGAGCTATTTTATTCGCGTTTTAAGGACGTTTTACAATTTTTGTTTTCAGATCTTCATTTTTACATTTTGAAAATATTCTGGAAGATATTTTGAAGAATTTATTTTTGAAATTTCAGATTTTTCTGACATTTTCTTAATGTTACTCTCAAAATAAGTAATAATTTTTTTTCCACATATTTTTCAAGCATTTATTTTGAGTCTTATTTCTATTTGGCAAATTTAAGTCCAAGTTGTTTGGTCTCCATTAGCTTTTTTTTTGAGGATCTTTAGATGTTCAATACTCCGCGATGTTCACCAGCTAGTCCGTCTGTGTGCAGTTTGGTGCTGAGCAGCAGGTTTTTAGAGCTTTTTTCTTTTTTTCTTTTCTAAAAACAGCTGCATCTGTATCAAATTCTAATGAAAGCATCGACAGCAAACAGTGAATTTAGGCCAGAAAATCCTAATGATGACGCCAAAAGCATTAAAATGTTTTGTGGAGCTGAAAGAAGCTGCAGCGTTGATTCACACAGTCATTTGATCCACTCATTTATGCGTCATCTGTCGCTCTAACAAGGTGGAATAATGTATTCTTGCACATCTGTGTAAATTTGATTAGCGAGAATAGTAATAGGAATATAATATCCGCTATGCTTGAACATCACATTTTCATTTATTCTTTTTTATTTATTCATGCAGGAGGTTATAATCAAATACAAGGGAGACAAATGGGGTATTTATTTTTGAAAATAATTTATTCAGTAGTTTAAAATGCCCCCAAGCTTTGTTATTCATTCGTCTTCTGAATGTCTTACCAGCTCTTTTGTTTGACTTTTCATCACCACACTGTCGTCTTAGTGTGATATCTGATCCTGTGTGGTTCTTCTCTTCAGTGAGGGAGCTGGTGGTGTCGGCAGGAGTCAGCGTGGAGGTAACGCTGCCCCGCAACGAGGTCGAACTCAACGCCTTTGTGGTCCCGCCGCCTCCGTCAGGTAAAACACGGATGAAACGACACCGTTCATTACCTGGAAACTGATTTATTACACGCAGGCTGACTTTTATTGCTTTCCCAGCGGCAGTGAGTTATCAAAATCTACTCATGAGGAAAATGTATTTGCTTTTTTATGCTGCTTAAGTGCAGACAGGCTGCCATTCTGCATGTTTTGACATTTCTGCCGGTGACTAATGGATGAAATGCAGCCTGTTTGACAGTCGAGTCACCATCATACTGTACATCAGGCAGAACGTTTGCCAGAGAGTTTTGAATCTGTGCTGTAAAAAGATTATACAGTTTCAAAGAGGCACGCACGTCATAATTTAGTTAATCCCTTGATCTCTCCTTGACATGCTCCAGTGATAGTAAAATTCCTCATCTGGAAACCGTTATCTGATAGATTCTAATTAAATGCATGAGCAGCTTTAATGTACTTTTTTTATTTTATGTTGCTTTACGCTCCTCCGCAGGGACCAACTATGCATTTGACTGGCGTCTGATAACTCATCCCAAAGATTACAGCGGCGAGATGGAGGGCAAGCACAGCAAGACGCTGAAGCTCAGCAAGGTGCACGTCACCACTTTCAAGTTCTGCTCAGAATAAAAGCATGAAAAGGTTTCAGGTCGTCTGCGAAGGATCACTTCTTCTTTCTGTGCTCTAAATCCGTCATTCTGTTTTTCCCAGCTGACTCTGGGCCTGTACGAGTTCGAGGTGACGGTGGACGGGGAGGGAGCTCACGGAGAAGGTTACGTCAACGTCACGGTCAAACCAGGTGAGCAGGAAGATTCAGAAAGGAAAACCTGAGTCACATTGTTCATCAAACCTGCTCGTAGATGTGACTGTGGGTGTGCACACTTTATACAGCGGGGACGAGTTAGAGGATAAAATCAAATCCAGTTTATTGTCATGTTGCTGTAGGTACAACAGCAGTACAGGCAAGATGAGAGAGCGTTTCTTCAGGATCCGATAACTAAAAGCAATTTAAATAAAGAAGTGTTTGCATATCCGGATCAGCAGTTCAGCGTTCTGACAGCTGGTGGCATGAAGCTGTCGATCAGTCTGGAGGTTCTTCCTTTAACGCTCTGGAAACGTTTGCCTGATGGCAGCAGTTCAGACAGTCTATGGAGAGGGTGTGAGGAGTCCCTGACAATGTTCAGTGTCCTGCTCCTGCAGCAGTTCTGGAGAAGTTCAGAGCTAGCTGCCTGTCTGTCCACCTAGAATAATGTCATCCCCTCCAGCTGTGTGTCCGTCTGGGATGCTGTCATGGAGCCATGTTTCTGTTAAAGCAAACACACAGCAGTCTTTCCACTCTCTGCGGGTTTCTCTCGGCAAACGTAGCTCGTCCAGCTCGTTTAAATAACTTCAAATCACTTCTGAATAACCGTCTGAACCCCAAAACCCAGCAGTAGGTTTGAAATGCGTGTTGCAGTTTTAAAAATCACCAAAATTGCACCATTTATCAGAACCAGAAGCTGTAAAAATGGGGGGAAAAAACAGTAGATTTTCAACCATCTGGCAGATGGAGCTTGAACAGTGACACGCTGTGCAGTTGCGGAAATTAACCAATCCAAGGTTAAAATCATGATATTTAATTAAAATCACTTTTTTTTCCGACTCATCTCATTTAAAAATTTAATAAAACGAAAATTTTGCTCTCCTTGGTGCAACTGTGCTGTACTGACTTCAAAATTTGTGAACTTTTTGGCTGAACTGCAGACTGATTGAGAAGATTTGTTTACGAAAACAAATTAAAAGTGTAAGTAGTGAAATATCTGCACTGTTTAGATCTACCAGCTTTTTCATTATTGGTGACACTTGTGGAGGGGTTTGGGTTAAATGGGCAAAATGTAGTTGATGTTGATTACATTTTTTTTTTTTTTTTTAAATAAATAGTCAAAGAAATTCAACTTTCTTTTTTTTTCTTGTTTTCTTTTTTTAATTGCTGCACAGAAGATGTTTCTGAGTTCTCTCTCCTTCTTTATGGTTGTTTCCACAGAGGTGCAGGACTTTATATTGCAGTAAAAATGAACTGCAGTGAGGAAAAATGTCACAGGAAATCAAACCACACCCAGAAACTGCTGCTTGGAGTTCAGACCATCAAGCAGTGTTTTATTTACAACAGTGTAGAAAATATTTATTTGTGAAACTCTACTGGTGATTCCACATTTAGCATTTTTAGCAGTGAACAAATAACCTTAAATGTTGGTGTTGATAAGGACATGCAGTAACTGACACGTCTTCCTCTTTCCTCATGAGCTCTTCCTGTGTTCAGAATATGTCGTCATCATGTCAGTTTGCCACATGACATGCTTTAGTCATATATTTAGCTGCTGCACTATCAGCTTCCGCAGCGACTACTTTAACCCCGATGATTCTTTCTGTTTTTACAATTTTGTGGTTCTGATAAGATAACATGTCTTTCATACAGCTGGCAGGTTGATGAAAACTAAAACTACACAAGTGAGTCTGATAAAGATAAATAACCGTCAGAGCTGATGCTGTGTGAATCAGTTGCTAAATTATGTAATATGGTAACAGTGTGTTTGTGGAAAAGCAGCTTCCTCTGAGCCGCCCTGAGCGAGAGACACATAAAGGGGTATTTTTGTCACATTAGTACCGACCTACATCCTGAAAACCACCACATTTTTGTTGTTGTTGTTGCTACTGCTACATGCACAGTGTTTTTTGTTGCTCCATTTCTGCGTATGTTTAAAAACAAACATACAATTAAAAAATGTTTTTTGGACTTTTGGCATGTAGCATGTTTCCAGTGCGTGTATGTAGTTTTCTTTAATGTAAATGTGCAGCTGAGTTCAACAGGATCATCATGTGGTTCAGTCAGTCTTCCTGTATTTGTCTTCCTGTCAGTTTAAATGAGATGAAACCACCTGGAGTCCTTCCAGGGTTGCACCTTAAGTTGACTACATGAGCTCAGATCTCGTCTTCCTCCCACACACGCTTATATTTGTGCCTCTGCTGCACAGCTCAGCGAGTTAATTCCTTGTTTTCCACCTGACAGAGCCGCGGGTAAACAAGCCTCCCGTCGCCGTAGTTTCCCCGAAGTTCCAAGAGATCTCGTTGCCAACCAGCTCGACGGTGATCGACGGCAGCCGTGAGTCTCCGGCGTCACACGTTGTAACTCCAGCTGAGGAGCCACATGTTCCTAAAGTACGCTGTCCTTTCAGAGAGCACCGACGATGACAAGGTGGTGTCGTGGCACTGGGAGGAAGTCAAAGGTCCTCTGAGGGAGGAGAAGGTCTCTGCTGACACCCCCGTCCTCACCCTCACCAGCCTGGTGCCGGGAAACTACACTTTTAAGTACACATGGACCTCACTTACCTCGTAGAGATAGATGGCTTTGTGTTAACTCGTGATTCGGTTCTGCTAACTGGTCTTTCCTGAGCTGGTGACAGAAACTTCTAACAGATCTCCTACAGAACAGAAACCTCTCATTCAGACCCTCATTGTCTGATATTTTCCAAACTCTCTAGTGTAAAAGTCTCCTCATTGTCAGGCAGCTTTATTTCTGCAGCACCTTATCACACAAAGAGGTTTTTCAAAGTAAAAAAAATAAAATGTTACAGTTAAAATACAAAATACAGCCCATTTAAATCTGACAAATATATCAAAAACAGTCCAGACAAGTTGAGATGGTGTACAGAAATCCTAACTGACAGTTAGAAAATAAATACTCGTCAAACATATAATAATATAATCTATATATTTCAACCATCCAGCATCATGAAGCGCTTTAATTCACACTCAGCTCTCCACATTTTAATATTTTGAAATCTGAGTCGGGCTTCTCTCAGAAATTAATCAAGCGCTAAAACTAACTTTTCTGTTCAGGAGTGCAAGTAGATAAAAATAATATAACATCTTAAGCAAGAAACAGTAACGTGCTTTACTGATTTGTCAGTTTTATTGTTAAACAATACATTTGAAAATTCATGGGTACCAATAATAATAAATAATAATTGTGACTCGATGATTCGACATTAAATGTCAAACCTTCTTCTATGTCGGATAGCAAGGCTGTCGGATTGTCAAGACGGAGGTCCAGATACGAGGAGGGCTTGATGCTATTGTTTATTGTTCATAGTTGTTATAATAACTAGTGTATTGTTAGAACACTACGCATCGCTGGACTTCAGCCTAACTGACCGGTGCTCTGGTGCCACTTCCACCCGGGGCAGCGCTCTGACGGGGTGGAAGTGTCCAGAACACACAGGCAGTACTTGGCTGCTGATGCTAGTTTAGTTAGCGCTCACACTTCTGTTTCCTCCATCGGTGGCGGCGGGGGAGTGGCAGATACGCTCCACCGTTACCATCCATGTTTACTTCCGTAAACACTGAGCACGCTCGCTGCGTGTGACGTCGTCGTGTCCTCTTCTGCGCATGCGGGACACTTTTGGCTCGTATGAAGTTCACACAGCAGATCACATACAAGTCGCATTGAACTGGAAACGTGAAGGAAGTCACAAAGAAATCCTCATTGAGCATCAAGTCCTGCAGTGTGAACGTAGCCAATCTGTGGGATTGTTCAGTCAGATAATACGCCGTCATCCTGATTGGTGACATTAAATGTCATGTCGGAGTCACAATCCAAGGCTGTCGCTATGTTAAGGCTGTTTTTATGGGTTCTGTTGGTTTTTCCTAAAAACCTGTTGGATAGCAGGTTTAGGGTTGTTAAGTTATCAAGTCATGACTGTATCTTAGCATTAAAAATATAATTTAGGTTAAAGAGCTTCTACATACTGCTGTATTAACCATCAGAGAAATATAAGAAATGATTTTGATAATTACCAGTGCTGTTAATTTAGGGCAGCTCAGCATAAACCTTACAGTGGGTGGTGGCTTAATAAGTATAAAATAAAAAGATAGAAAATAAATAATAAAAATTAACCGAATTAAAGTGCAGACAAGTTTGATTAAAGCACCAACCAGACTTTATACTAAAACTGACTAATTAAAAGCAGTGGGAAAATAACTCTTACTTTTGAAAACAGCCACATTCAGGTCAAATATGAGCGAGCAGAAGACTGAACAGCGTTTCTGAGCTCTGCAAACAGACCTCTGATTTAATTTGGACATTCGGACACTGACAGACAATCAGGAGTCGCAATTTTAATTCTACGTTTAACTGGAGTCCAGGCAGCATCTAAGAATCAGACTCATGTCTTCTCTGTTCTGGGCGTTGGTTCCAACAGCAGCAAGTTGAGTTAAATATGAATTAACAGTCTTATTGAGGAGGGTGTTACGGTCATCCGCTTGACAGGTAGCAAAAGCATAAAGGAGTTTTTCTGTTTTAAAGGTGCCGGAGCGAGGATTTAGTTTCAGCTCTGATGCGACTGCTGAAGTTTCTTTATTAAATTTAGTTCAACGATTACGATGAGATTCTTGACTTGACTGTTAGTTTTTAGAGTCCAGGACTGAAGGTGAGCTCAGACTGCCACCTTCCTTCTCTAAATAGATTTATTTTAGTCTCGTCTTTATTTAGTTGAAGGAGGATTTGTTGCATAAACTTGTTTGCTTCCTCAAGGCGGAGACAAAGCAGCTCTGTCGAGTCATTCAGTGACAAAAAGTCCATATATGAGGCACGCTGTTGCTGTTAGTGATGAAGGCTGTTGTCTCGGTCGCTAACAGAGAAACTGACTGGATTTTGACTTTCAGCTGCTTGTGATTCACCCTCAGTCTTAGTGAGAGGAAGGCCGAACCCAAAATGATGCAACTGACATATATTAGCTTGGACTGTTTGACAGTTTTTAGTTTGATTGGAGCTAATAGTTTAGTTTCTGGCAAACTGTTTAATGAGACATGTAGAATTAAGAGATTTTAGAGAAATGTCGTGATTTGAAGCTCAGATTTAGTTATTTTTTCTATAAAAAGTCACATATGATCAGTACAAAGACTGTCAGAAAGTTAGAAATGTGACAATTCTTTCTATTTTTACAGTTTCTTTCTCCAATTTTTGTGATTCTTAAAAACAAAAACAACAAAAAAAAAAACATGCCTTTAAATCTTGCCGGCCGGTTTTGGGATTCTCAGGGTAAAAAAATCTTAAACTAAACAAAAGAGTCTTATAATGATAATTACTTCCAGAGCTGATTCTGGGTGAATCAGTTTCTAAATTATGTGATGACATTAAACTGTGTGTTTGTGGAAAAGCATCTTACTCTGAACCACACTGAGTGAGAGATGCATCATGGGATGTTTTTGTGACACTCATACTGACTCACATCCTCAAAAATTACCACATTTTTGTTGTGGTTGCTCTAAGCAGTGCAGTTTTTAAGTTGTAGATGCCTTTTATTGATGTTTCTGTTCAAAAAAGTGTCAAAAAGCGGCATTAAGAGCTGTTAGGAACCTCTAAGTCACATGTTTTGGGGTTCAGGGGGTTGAAATGACTGCAGCTACATCAGTTAGCAGCTGGATTAGTTTTAATCATTCTCCCATTCTACCAGTTTGACAGTGACTGACTCAGACGGAGCCACAAACTGGACTCAGGCCACCCTCTCCGTCAACAAAGCCAAGGACTACCGGCCGGTGGCCAATACCGGCCCCAACCAGGTCGGGACTACTCCCTGCTGTCATGGCTCTGCTCTTTAATGCACCAAACTGCTGTTTTTGTTCTCACAAGTAAGTTATTTAAACCTACTTCCTCCAGGTCATCCAGTTGCCTCGTAACTCCATCGTTCTGTACGGCAACCAGAGCACCGACGACCACGACTCGCTGTCCTACGAGTGGTCGCTGAGCCCCGAGAGCAAAGACAAAGTGGTGGAGATGCAGGTCAGCAGCAGCGTCACGTCACTGACCTCATGTTTCAGCGGAAAACAGCATCTTTGCCAACAGCAGCGTGTTTTCTTTCTTGTCAGGGTGTCCGGACGCCGATCCTGCAGCTGTCGGCCATGCAGGAGGGCGACTACACTTTCCAGCTGACTGTGACGGACTCGGCCGGACAGCAGGACACGGCTCAGGTCACCGTCATCGTGCAGCCAGGTAACAGAGCAGGTGGTCTGATGTAGGATGCAGGTGTAACAGGTGGCTTTGTCCGTCCCCTCCACAATCTGTAGGCTCATCTCTTTCCACTCGTTTCAACCTCCTCGGCTCCTTAATCCTCCAATCTGTGAGACGGAAATTGGTCTTAGTTCATCATCATGAATCTCATTTCCTAAAATACACATGGAGGATCGAAGTGGCTGCTAGAGGGGCTTCATAAAGTCGAACTGTCCTCTGTGGACTGAAAAGATGCGACACGCAGCTGGATATACAAACCATGTCGATGAATCTGTGTTCAGTATTAATATATGTCACTATTGTGTCGTACTATTTTCAGCGCCACGGCTATTTTATGTTTCACACTGCATGTGTTAAAAATGTATGACATCTGTACATTCATGTCACATTCTGCCGTGTTGTGACTTGAATTCTAAGTAGAAATATCAACATTAATTATCACGAGCAGTGTCTTGTTCATCAGACACAGCTGTCGGTTATAATTAAACAAAGGAAGGTGATGCACCTGTGACACACGTTTAATTGATGTGACTTTAAACTGACGCTACGAGAACGTCTCACTTTGACTTCTCTCTGCTCAAAACTCTCCTCTGATTGAACCTCTGGTTGGACTGACTAAGACAGAAGGAGAAAAAACGAGGAAGTGCAAGTAATGAGATGAGGGAAGCAGGATGCCGTTTTCTTCATTACAACCTCTGAGCTTCACTGAAAGTGTAAAATTTTGCCGAGGATTTGGATGGTGCAGTAGTGCAGCGCTGCTAGTTTAGTTTTTGTTGGTGGATTTTAATCAGTGTTCGTCGACCTGTGTGCATTGCTCCACCAACACAATTCCACCGTCACTATTCTGAATGAACACCTAAGCCACGCCCTTTGTTTAGCTCCGCCCACGACGACTGTGATTGCTCTAAAGAAGCCAGATTGTTTTTCGATCTACAGCAGAATGATAATGAGGTGCAGCAGGATACCATAGCCAGGTATTCACAAAAACGGATCTACGTTTTCAAAAAAATGCGTCGCTACAAGCTGCTTTGAGCTGCCAAACCCATAGGGGGCAGTGTAACGAGAAGCATAAAGCCATGCTAGCCAATCAGAATCCTGGAAAAAACACAACAACGAAAACGTTGTGTTACTTCAACGATAATGGGGTCTTTTGTTTGGAGCGACAGAGACGTGGAGCTGCTCCTACATGTGGTGTTAGAGTACAAAACAAGTCAAATTCTTTAAAATCTTGACTGGGAAACACGTCAGTCCAAGTATACAGACGCAGCCAAACTGTAAACATGGTCGCACACATGTGACACTGACAACGCTTTAGTCTCACACTGTGACATCAAACTCCGTCTCCTCCTGTCGACATGCAAACTAAAGACGGAGTTTTTCCAAATCTCCACTGTGGCCGGAGTTTTTAAATATGATTGTTTTCGATGACTTGTAGCTTCGATTACGTGTAAATCAAAGGCCCAGACGCACTGAAATATCACCGTTACTGCTACGTGTAAACAGGGCCTGAGGCTGAAGCAGCACAGAGCTCCTGCTGAGACCACCTCAGCTCGACTGAATGCTGATTGCAGCGACGCCTTGAGAGGATATTTGGTGAACCAGCTGCTGAGGACTCCAGCGAGAGATATCACTTCTTATTTCCTCACAGCTGTCACTCATCGGCTCAGTCTGTTTGTTCAGCTGTTTGCTCCCGAGCTCCACTTACGCAGACGTGAATTAAACTCTTCATCATGACATTTTATATCTTCTTCCTCTGCACTCGACACACGCCGAGTCGCTTCTCGTTCGCACGTTCTCTTCCCCGCGGTTTACACGAACACAGACATGAAGCAGCAACAGTAGCCTGATTAATACCTTGACCTTTAACGCGTGAAGCAAATGCCAACGCTTAAACTGCTCTCAGGAGTCCGTATTTGTTGTACGTGTTCGCTCGAGCTGATAAGCCCTTTGTAAACTGTAGAGTCAAACACACAGAGCAGGACCTGAACTATAAACACACATCCAAGGTCGGGCCGTGGCAGCCATGTAGAGAAACAACGATGTGAGGCAGAGTCTGTATTTCTGTGTGTCTCAGAGCATAACCGCTTTATTTCATGGCACACCTGGGTTTTAATGTATGGACTTAGTTCATATGAAGTGCTACGATAATCCTTATTAATCCATGTAGCAGATGAAACTCCAGAAAAGCTCAGAAGAAACTTTTTCAAGATCTTTTTCACCACATCCAGCAGTAGGGATTATTTGCAGCGTTACAGCAGCAACAGGAAAAGGGCAGAAATGTAGGAAACAACAGTGAAAAACCAAAATAAACAAGAAAATATATTGATATTTCTCTTACCTGGTCTGTTTTTCTACACACACTCTGCTGTTTTCTTAGTCTTTCTATTTATATATGATCCATGCTCTATACTCCATCAGTACAATAGTATGTATAACATGCAATCATGTCATTTATTAGAACTAGTACTTGTGTATACTTTGGTTTATTTTTTACTCTTATGCTTAATTTCTGATACTTTTACTGCTGTAGCGTTGCAGATATACCCACTGTGGGATTAATAAAAGGTTATCTTAATGTGGAAAATAATAATAATAATCCACAGATTCTTCCACGTGCAGGAAATACTGATAGTAAAGAGGCTGATTCCTTTATACGTAGAGAAATTACAATAAAGTCTTTAAAATGCTCAAAACATTCATAACTCACAGGTTTGAATGCATTCATGTTGCACCAGAGTGAAATGTTTATATCATGGTTGTTTTTTTTAACCTCAAATGTTTAACACACATTCACAGTTTCACTTTTTAATTAAATCCCTTTAAATCATCGGTCCATCTGTCCAACCACTGATTGACAGACACTGACCTGATTTGGCTCAAAAGCTGGTGAAATCGAGCCTCGTCGACCAAAAATAAAAAGGTGTCAAATTTCACAGTTTGAGGCGCATTAATGCTGCGCTGTGGATTTCATTTTATGATAGTTGTAGGGATGATGTGCCGAAGTGGCTTGGGTCTGTTGTTGATTAAACCCCCCCAAAAAAAAATCACCTCTGTGTGTATTAAAGGTATGTATTTAAAAGTGTCTTCAGTAAAAACAATCCCCTCTTGCATTAAAACAGCTGAAATAAAAGTCTGCCTCCTCCAGAACTGTTTGTTCTGTTTGAAACCTTGGAAGTCTGAATTCAAATCTGTTTCAGTTTGTTTTAGCCGTGGTGTTACCTCCTCATGTCGCCCATCATGTGTCTTCCACCAGATAAAAACACCGCATGGAGATGTAACGGGCTACAAAATGTGATTTTCACCAACGGGGGGTTTAAGCTCAGAGGAAAACCAGCAACTTTCGACAGCCTTCAACCAGCCTCCTGCCTCTGTGTGTTTTCTGTTGCTGCACACTGCGGTTGTACATTTAAACTCCTCATCGTGGTTCTTCTGTGTCTTCATTCTCCAGAAAACAATAAACCACCAGTGGCAGACGCAGGTCCAGAGAAGGAGCTGACGCTGCCCATCGACCGAACCACTCTGGACGGCAGCAAGAGCAGAGACGACCAGAAGATAGCAACCTACCACTGGAAGA